ATTACCGCGTCCTTTTTATCGCGCTTCATCTAATCGCCGGTCGCCTCGATCGTATCCGATAAATTGCTGATATTGCGAGAGACGATTGAGAAATTAACACGTTTGCTGCAACGTGCGGCGGCGTTCGATGCATTTACTTTCTATAATTAGACTGGCCACCGGCAGCCAAAACTGTCGTAAACAATTTATGGGTACTGTGGACAATACGCGCAGGTAAAATGCTTGTAACAATACTCGGTCGGGTGCTCGTAGTGGCGAGCGTTAATTCCATCGCATTCCGGCGCTTTCGAATATATCATTCCGCCATGGAAATTTGTAGACAAATTGACACCGCAACGCGCGGAATGGAGCGGCAACTTTGAGCGAATTTACGGTTCTATTATCGTCGCATTTGCAGTGTATTACGGAAGAATAAATCAAGTGGAGCGGAGGAGAGTAATTAGGCATTAATCGCGAATCAAACGACGCTCCGGGTCGATTCTTTTTATCATCGCCGATGCACAACATTTCGATAATAAGCGAGGCGGCCGCGTGTGTGCTCTAGTTTGGCGCACTTGAGCGAGGCTAAGGATGATCGATGACGTAATGTTGACTTGAGCGTTGGAAAATGTTTGCGATCACTTTTACGGATATGATAGGGCGAAGTGAAAAGATACCGAGAGAGATAGAAGAAGGTATCGATCCGCGACGGCGATCGGCAATAAACGCGCGACGACAATTCTTCGAAACGGCCTTTTTCGATATCTTTCGATACCGATACACGTGGATTTCCGTTTGTATTTGGGTCACGGTGCCGCCCCGATTCTTTTCACTCGTCGCGCCGCGACTTATCGCCGATTCATATCCGCGAAACGGTGAAACGGCGAGCGATAATGAGGCAATTGTCCCGCGCGGTAAACTGGCATTCCGCGCGATGCGGACGCAAGAGAGGCGGTGTAAATTAATGCGGCGACATAATTGGTGGCAAAACAACGACGAAGCCTAACGCGCCGCGAGAGACAGGTAGATGGATTGCGGCAGACCGTTGCTACAATGAGAAAATATGATCGACGGGGCCACGGAACGAATGACATAGTTGTTGCCGATTAAAAAAACTGTCGTTGTTTTTGTCCGAGAGATCTCGTGCCGAACGAGATCTCCATTGAACGATAACCACGCTGACGTGTGTATTTACCTCATTGTGGATTATTAATATTTCATGAGAAAATGTGTTTTCCGTCATTCAGCGAGCATAACTCAATCGGCACGAAATTATGGAAATCATTGGTGCTTTTCCATTCGCATAAATCGATGCGGCTGACAAAAGACGCAATAGTTGTTCGATATTTTTATGCACAGAGCTTCCTGTTTTGCAGAAAATTTGCTTTATTATACAAACAAAGTTTATGTTAAATGTATGCTTCGTAAAGATAAAATAAATAAGAAAAAGATAAATTAGTTCATAAAAATTAAAATGTTGCAAAAAATATTAAAGGAACATAAAAAAACACTAAATTAAAACTGAATTAAAATTAAATTTAAATTTAAGAAATACAAAATCGAACAATTAAAGGAACATAAAAGATGTTCTCTACTGAATGATTCATGTTTCAAACTTGAAAAATACTTGGCAAGTTATTTGATTATTTTTGGAACACAGGAAATGCGCGTGAAATCATCTCACATCTGACGCGAATAAAGTACGCATAATATCATACACCGCACTAGGCAGCTATAAACTCTCTCGTGAGAAGGTAAGAAGGCAGAGAGAGAGAGAGAGAGAGAGAGAGAAAACTTCTTCTGAGTATAATAATTCAAGTTCAGCGGCGCACCATGGTCGCAATATGGACGGCTGTTGTGTAACCGTTTTTAAAGGAAAAAAAAGAGACGGCAAGCCGCTCCTCTCGCGAGTCCAATGTGGTCATCAATGGCGCGGAATGACGAATCGCAGAGAAAAAGCGATCTCCAGTCAAGGTCGCGTATCGAAAGGTGCCTTTGCGTTCGCCATTTCGCATTCATCTTGCTATTATCTCTCGGACGGGTGCTCGTATGGCGCGTATTTCTTACACAGTTCACGGACTGCACAGAGTGCGCATCGACGCGTATATAGCCGCGTATGCAACAAAAATCACCGGCGGGCTCGAAAAGGTGAACCAGTCGAAATTCCGGGTTTCCTCCACTTTTTGCACGAAAACCACATCATGCGCGTCATTCCTTTCTGGGCACAACAAATAAACGCGGCGTGAGAAAGCTAATTTGGTAAGCGACAGCTGATGCAAATATTCTCTTTTTAAAATTCGCGTAGGATAGCGCGATAAATTTTTGCAGACTTTATTTTTAGAAAAGTTCGTCGTATAATTCACCGTCGACATTTGCCGACGAAATTGATTATTAATATTTTTGCAACCCAATCGTTCATTATGTATATTTCTTCTTTTTATTAATCGCAATCGCTTCTGGTAACGTCGGCACTGTGCGACTGATTGTTGAATACAAATTGTTTCACTACCTTCATTATTTTCCAAGGTTATTTTATAACGAAACAAAACAACTTGAGGAATTTTAAGTTTGTAGAAATGATTATCTTAATTGAAACATAAAGCGTCAGTAGAAAATTAAAAACACTTCACTCTGTTAGTGAAATTGATGCCTCGGTCAATAATCCATGTTTAAAGGCGCTTAGCGTAAATCGCAAATGAGTTTCCTTACGTTAATTAGCGATAGCTTGCTACGGTGTCATTTGCACTACCGTTCGTCGGAATAAATTTGACTATGTCAACTGTTCAGTTTGGATAATCTATGCATCAGGGACCTAATTCGCGACGCTGAGATTTATGGTCAAACCATTTAACATACGGCCGCAAACATTTGACGATCGTTATTTCAATCTTCGAGAATACATTCTATCATCGCTCTCTTTAAAATTATCAAAGCCACTTCGCGAGCATGTTTAAGTTAACATCGATGTGGCAATTACCGCGTTACGCGGCCATGAAGAAAAATGAACAAAAAGAGCTTCTCTGGCAACCAAGAATTATGAGTAATTAATATCCATTTGCATCCATTTATACGTTTGCCGAGGAAAAAAAAACTCTTCTAAATACCAAATATGTCGTGTAACATTTTAAAGCATTCCTACATTTGCAAAACATGAGATATATTTAATTAAAAAATTTCTCTACGATCACAAGAGCAATAATTCACAATGAAATACTGTATTAATTAAACAGATTTGCGCATTGTTAGTTTTTTATACCGTTATAAGATTATTTGTTTCATCGTTCAGATCACTGCAATATATCGCAATACATACTTTAACATATATATA